CAGAAAATTAGAATATTGTGAAAAGGTTCAATATTGAAGACACCTGGTGACACACTGTAATCAGCTATTTGACTCAAAACACCTGCAAAGGCCTTTAAATGGTCTCTCAGTCTAGTTCTGTAGGCTACACAATCATGAGTCATTTGCAATAAAAAAAAAAAAGACCCTTTTTCCCATTCTTCTGAGGGTCGCTGAAGCTGATAACACTAACTGTGCAATACTGTATACCATAATACTGTAAAACCATGATATTTTCTGAGACTGTTATCATCTCGTGAAAATCTCATGCCTTTGTAGCCCTAGTACCAGAACGTCTGCGTGCACAGCAAAGGTTGAAGTAGGACCGCATGTGCAACCCTCATCCACATAAGAGTATGCATAAAGCATGAATTGGCTTTTACTTAGCTAAATGAAAACAGCTGTACTAAAGCTAAGCTAGTTGCCTCTGTCTACGTTTGAAAATGACCACTACTTTGTTGGAAAACTTAAAAACAATCCCACTGTTCTGAAATAGCAGGTTTCGCTCCTTCTTATTCATCATACCTACAGGTGCTGGTCATATAATTAGAATATCATCAAAAAGTTGATTTATTTCACTAATTTCATTCAAAAAGTGAAACTTGTATATTATATTCATTCATTACACACAGACTGATATATTTCAAAAGTTTATTTCTTTTAATTGTGATGATTATAACTGACAACTAATGAAAACCCCAAATTCGGTATCTCAGAAAATTAGAATATTGTGAAAGGGAAGGAAAAGATGTGGTAGAAAAAAGTGTACAAGCAAAAGGGATAACCGCACCCTGGAGAGGATTGTGAAACAAAACTGATTCAAAAATGTGGGGGAGATTCACAAAGAGTGGACTGCAGCTGGAGTCAGTGCTTCCAGAACCACTACGCACAGAAAGACATGGGTTTCAGCTGTCGCATTCCTTGTGTCAAGCCACTCTTGAACAACAGACAGCGTCAGAAGCGTCTCACCTGGGCTAAAGACAAAAAGGACTGGACTGCTGGTGAGTGGTCCAAAGTCATGTTCTCTGATGAAAGTAAATTTTGCATTACCTTTGGAAATCAGGGTCCCAGAGTCTGGAGGAAGAGAGGAGAGGCACAGAATCCACATTGCTTGAGGTCCAGTGTGAAGTTTCCACAGTCAGTGATGGTTTGGGGTGCCATGTCATCTGCTGGTGTTGGTCCACTGTGTTTTCTGAGGTCCAAGGTCAATGCAGCTGTATACCAGGAAGTTTTAGAGCACTTCATGCTTCCTGCTGCTGACCAACTTTATGGAGATGCAGATTTCATTTTCCAACAGGACTTGGCACCTGCACACAGTGCCAAAGCTACCAGTACCTGGTTTAAGGACCATGGTATCCCTGTTCTTAATTGGCCAGCAAACTCGCCTGACCTTAACCCCATAGAAAATCTATGGGGTATTGTGAAGAGGAAGATGCGATATGCCAGACCCAACAATGCAGAAGAGCTGAAGGCCACTATCAGAGCAACCTGGGCTCTCATAACACCTGAGCAGTGCCACAGACTGATCGACTCCATGCCATGCCGCATTGCTGCAGTAATTCAGGCAAAAGGAGCCCCAACTAAGTATTGAGTGCTGTACATGCTCATACTTTTCAGTTGGCCAAGATTTCTAAAAATCCTTTCTTTGTATTGGTATTCAGTAATATTCTAATTTTCTGAGATACCGAATTTGGGGTTTTCGTTAGTTGTCAGTTATAATCATCATAATTAAAAGAAATAAACATTTGAAATATATCAGTCTGTGTGTAATGAATGAATATAATATACAAGATTCACAGTTTGAATGGAATTAGTGAAATAAATCAACTTTTTGATGAAATTCTAATTATATGACCAGCACCTGTATATGTCTTGTGTTTCCAGGTGCAGCCATTAGGTAAGGTAAAGATGGACCACAAGAGCACTTTCATTATTCACCAGATGTCATTCTGTTTGGCTGGGGGTGAAGATGAGTCATCACCTTCATCCAATCGGAGTAGGTGCTGAAAAATAATGTACACTGTGTTTATAACTTCTGAAATGCCTGCTAGAGAAAAGAGGGGACTCTGGGTTGTTTGTAAAGATGAATTTATAGAAATCTAAACCAGTTTGGGTGAATAAAGAATGTACACTGTGTTTATAACTTCTGAAGTGCCTGCTAGAGAAGAGAGGGGACTCTGGGTTGTTTATAAAGATGAATTTATAGAAAACTAAACCAGTCTGGGTGAATAAAATGTTACTCAATATTCATAAAAATGGGTCAAAAGGACCATAATACCAACAGTTAAATAAAAGATCATTCTGACTTTAGTCTGGGCTGCTGAAACACTATTTCCACAAGCATGTTTTCTGCCATAAGAAAAGGTCTGAGACAAAAACAAGGCCTAACAGGAAAGGCTGTTTGCATATCTTATAACACAGCTGTGAAATTTTAATGGGGCATACTGTATGTTTAATGGATAAACTAAACTATACAAAACTCCATGCATCAAATATTATTAAAAACCAAAATTTGTCTGCTAATTGGTTAAAAAATGGAACCACCCATAATTATTGACTAATAGACTAGATTGTAATTATAACAGATGACAATTTGATTATTGTCATCATACATTTTTAATCATATGGTACATCACATGATTATAAGCATGGAAAGAATAAACAGTGTAAATGTATGCGTTTACTTCTGCATGGCAGTATATTTCTAGTTACATTGCAAAATGCAATCATCAATGCATCCTTTGTGATGAAAACTTCAAGACCAACATGAAACTCAATGAGACACCATGTGCCACACCCTGTCACATCTGCCCACATCTGCTAAAAATAGTTAAAGCCCACAATTCTTTTTATTAACAGAACATGGCTTTGAGGGTTTTGAAATGGCTCTCATGCAGTGGCTGACTGATCCATGGTGTTCAAATCAGACACAGTAACACACACATAAACAAGCATACACTAACAGATGGTGAAGCGGCCACTCCCTGATACACAACCTGTCAGGGAGGCCCTGAGAGCCAACACTGTTCCTTTGTTTAAATTGGGCTCTTTAAATATGGCTCTCTCAGTGTGCAATTTGAAATGCTACAAAGACAACAACAAAGAATGTGATGGGAAGATAGAAAACAGTAACTGTTGTGAAGATCTTTTTGCCAAATGTTTTGTCCTGAGAGTTGATACCATTATCTAGACGACACAAAAAGAGAAATGCGCCTTTAAGAGGTCCTTCCTTCATTGGCAGTTGCTCAGTAACAATGCATCTGCAGTGCAGAGAGCATCGCAATATTTAGCACCAATAACGCATTGTCACCGTAGACATTACAGTAAAACTGGCATGTGGTTTTTCTTTACTTGTCAAAAAAAATCCTCCGTATGGGGGGAAAAAAATGACGTAATTCTATATAAACAGTCCTTAGAACACATGTTTTAGTTCGGCTAACATTAAAAGGCATAAACACTGCGTTTTGATTTTTCATTTCAAACTAGGCCCGCTTCCAAAATAACGACGCCACTCAGAGACAAGCAGTATATTCCCAGCTGAATATACTGTATTGTAAAACGTCTTACATCATGCTTTAGCACAGTGGCTACTGACTACTCATTAGCAAGGCAACATAAAACTGACACATTCAGTTTTGCGTGGCGCTATTGCAATGACAAAGCGTCTATAAAGCTCCATGGTTAGTATTCATGTACCTGGATATGTTTACTACCACAGGTGTTTCTCATAAAGGCTTAAACAAGCTTTAGCAACCACGCACACAACAAACAAATGAAAGAGGGTTTCTACATTAGTTACAATGGCTAACATTACTGTTCGAAGTTGAATTGCAACGTTATGGACTCGATGGTAACCTTTGAAATCAATCATACCTGTATACGACAACAAAGCACATATGGTTTAGCTGTAGTTAATGTTAAAACTGCATTAAGATTTAACTAGCTAGCTAACTTAACGTTCAGCTATTCCTTACCAGAAAATTTTGATTCTTTGGCAGCAGAATTGTGCCCATCGGCAAACCCTTGCGACGATGATATCTGGGCGGACTGAGTCGTTGGATCCATTTTAGTGTAGTTTCAAAACAACTGCACAAAGGCGGTAAAATCTCTGTTGTCACGGTTTAAAATGGCTTATATTGTCCTTTGAAAATATATGTGCCGTCTGACTTTCCTCAATTTTCCCGAGATCGGGACTTGGTTCCTCACCTTAACGCAACGTTCGAGCACTGACAGAGAAACGGAGATGGAGGGAAACAAGGCGGACCATGGAGGAGGGGGTGGGAAACATGTCGGGGTGGGAAACGTTCAATGTCTTCACTTCCAACTTGAAATTCAGGACTTACCTCTGCATTCAAGTACAATAAAACAATACAATTATTATAATTGTTATCACTTCTTAATTTTCCTTCAATGTTTCTTGCCTTTAGAAAATGTATTCAAGCAATTTCTGTATCAAAAACCAAACTGTACTAGATGGTAGGTGTTATTTTGTTGCGAAGTTTAAAAGAGCTAGAAATATTCTACGGCCAGTGAAGGCAGCAAGACGAATATTCCTGAAGCAAAGCACCATGTTTTTTCGCCCCTGAATAAAAGTGGGGCTTTGTATTTCGGCCATTGGCTGGTATAGAGTATCACTGCAAGACTGCAATGTATGAATTTTGAATAAATGTCACCAAAATATCTCTAGTAAATAATTTGGTAACTATGGATTGAACACATAAACGGAATTTTGTTTGAACTGTTTATAACAAAGCCAGCCAGCCATATTGACAAAAATAGTTTTTAACACTAATGGCGATGCAGTGACTTCACGGTTGCGGTACAGTTGTTGTTTTTATTTTACAATTATAACTGTGTAGGTTTTTGTTGCCCGTTTGCTATTATGTAATAACGTAGTTCAATTTTCAAGAAACTGACTGCATTAAATAAAGGCATACTGCTACCCTCTACTGGAGGTGTTTATTAATATTATATTATGAACTACATTTCCCAGCATGCATGAAAGGCAATCGTATAAGATCTATAACCATAGGGATGGGCCTGTCTGCATCCATCTGCGCTTGACACCGACCCATGTATCGTTATGAGATCTGATCTGTTACGCAAACGTAGTGACTGGAAATACACTGGTGACACACTGCAAGTGAGTTTCGGGTAGACTGAGCTGCGCGGCAAAAGAAGGGGTACACAAACAAAAACATGTGGCTGAGGCTATGAGGAAACGGGTAAGTAATTTCTTACGGACTGCTCGAATTTTGAGCTAATAAGAGTTTAGAGTTAGTCTGTGTTGCGATGTATTGTGGTGATCTGTTTCGAGAAGAATGACGGGGATAAGCGTTGTTGTCCAGAAGTGGTGAGTTTAGCTAACCAGAGGTTAGTTAGCATGTTAGCTGTTTCTGACAACAGTCATTCAGTAGCCGCTCCCAAGCTGTTAGGTCACAGTGTGGGCTCACTTTTTTGGTTCAGGTAAACTCTCTTCTCTGTCTCACTGATTAAAAAAAACCTAATGTTCATTCAGCAAACTAACATTGATAGTAGTCCTACGTGGATAGCTAATGTTAACTTAATAAAGTTAGCTAGTTAGCTTATGTCAGCCAACCAGGCTAGTGAGTAAATACATCTAGCGTTAAAGGAATATGTACGGAAAGTCTCTAAGCATTTGTGTTGTGGCGGAGATATTTTGACTTATCAACATAGCTAAACCACCAACCTCGAAGAGCTTTTTGTAGTTTTGCATTGAATATAGGTAGCAGTGGGAGTGCCCCGCCCACCAGAGCGCCATGTAGTCCGTGTTAGTGGCATCGTTGTATCCAACATTATGCAACGAGTCAAGCTGCTCGGTAGTTGAGCAGTGTCTGGGTCTTTGTTTATTTGTTTAGCGTTTGGTACTTATAATAGCATGGACGAAATGATAACTATTGAGTAATATAGTTAATGGGATGTTTATTAATCCGCACACGTTTCCTTACTAGGGACAGACTGTATATGATATTGCTAGACATCAGAAACATTACATAGCCATTACAATATGTTGATTTTCGGAAACGGACAAATGTCACATAAGCAACCCGTACGTAATTGATAAATCACAAATTGATAACGTGTAAATAAATAACAAATATTATTGTGTAGTATATTTTCTATCTAAAAGGGCAGTTTTGTTTCAACCAGGTTGTCTTCTTGAATGATTAGCCCTATATGGTAAAATCTTTTCAACATTTTGGTATTCACATAATATTACCAAAACAGTGTTTTACTGGGTAATTTATAGGGCAAATCACATATTTAAAGGGTAACTCTGATGATGTTCTCTTTTTACTTGTAAACAAATTTAATGTACCATCCCAAACCAGTACTCTGCTACTATTGTGTGTGTATCCAAAGCCTAATATCTCATTCATCTGTGCCACTGTTGTCCAAAAACTATTAGTGAGCCACACTGTTGTATTGGGTGATGTTTCTTTATTGTCATGAACAGGCACTGTAGTTTATTATGGTTCAGTCCCACCTACACCATCCTGCTTCCCCACAAACAGCCTAAGGACCAAATGTGTATTAATCCACCACTGAAAATTGTCCCCAAGTAATGCACTATTTCTTCCTGTTTGAGTAACATTTGCTTAGAAACTACAGCGACCAGCAGTTTTTGGAAATTACTTTAAAAAAAAGAAAAGAAAAAAAAGTATAATTATGAGCTGCTTTTAAGGTTTTCATTTTCACTAGTGGCCAAAGGACTTGGAGATGAGAGCCACAGACAAGACAGGGAAATCAGTAGCAGGAGTATAGATTCATATAAAAGTAGAATCACGGCTTCCTTTACAGGGAGGCCTTTCATGGCCTCTCTGTGACTTTATCTATTTTCATCTTTCAGTTTTGCAGGTGAGGAGAACAACTGACTTGTGAGTGACAGCAGACACCATGGGATTGCATTCAGCCCAGAAGAAGCACTTTCCCCTTCGGGGGATTGATGGTGTGGTTCAGCTGTTTGATGCTGAACTCCGCAAGTCTGAGCCAGACCTAGCCCTTCTTTCCTTGGTCCTGGGTTTTGTCGAGCACTTCCTGGCTGTGAACAGAGTCATTCCCATAAATGTTCCAGGAGTACAGTTTGAACCACTGGAGCCAGACTGTCCCAACTCCTGCTTCCCCACAGTGGAACTGGGCATGATCTCTGCACTGTACGAGCGCTTCACGGCCCAGATCCGTGGTGCGGTGGACTTGTCCCAGTACCGGAGAACTGCTGCAGGGTCCAGCAGGGAACTAGTGAAGAAAGTGTCAGATGTGATCTGGAACAGTCTCAGCCGCTCCTATTTTAAGGACCGTGCACACATTCAGTCCCTCTTCAGTCTCATCACTGGTATAACATTGCACTTATTATAATGAAATGAGTTCTTATGAGTATATTTGACTAAGCTGGAGTTAGAGTTGTCAAATTGATGAAAATAATTGTTTATTAAATTTGAACCAGGTACCAAACTGGACAGCTCTGGGGTGGCATTTGCGGTGGTGGCAGCCTGCCAGGTTCTGGGTCTGAAGGATGTCCACCTGGCACTGTCTGAGGATCACGCCTGGGTGATTTTTGGCAAAAACAGCGAAGAGACAGCAGAAGTCACCTGGCATGGAAAGGGTAACGAGGACCGACGAGGACAAACAGTCACAGCAGGAGTCAGTGAGAAAGTAAAGTCTACCTTCATCTTCCTCAAATTGTGATGAATACTCTCTCAGCACCTAAAGAAGCTCCCAAACATTGGGCCTCATTCACCAGAATCTTCCAAATCCAAAGTTTTTCTTTCATCTGTTCTTAAGAAATCTCCTACGTCTGATTCATGAACATGTTCTTAAGATGCAGAGTTGTTCACACCTGTGTTCTTACAATGAAGAATGCCATTGTCTTTAGAAGCTGAAAGCATGTGCCAGGTGTTTCTATTTAAGAATGCCTATAAAAGAGCACAAGACTGCGGGGCCATATGTGCACACACAGGAGTCTTGCACAGGAATTGAAAAGAAAAGAAAATCAGGAGAGTTAAAATGAACATCTGAAGACAGTGGAGCATACATGGCTCTCTCAGGTGGGTCATCAGCTGACCAGACCTCCAAGCACCCAGGTCCATTTCAGCTGTCTCATGTGCGGTGCTGGACAACAAAACCCTTCAACACTGGAGTTTAATAACGCAGTGGACCATTTTACCTATGTAAAACAGATTTTTAAAAATGGCATAAAATGTATATTAGTAAAAGAGTTTAATTTAGGTTAAAATTGTGTAACCTACGCATAGCCATACTCGGTGACTCACTTCCTGTGGCTGCCTCTCATAAAAAATTTCAAACCACTTCTTTGCTGGAGGGGTTTGAATGTAGAACACCTGCATCTTCTGAGTTTGCATACATACACTCACCTGCTGTCTGACAGCAGCTGTTTGCTCTGGTTGTTCTTCAGCAGGGTTCTGTCCCTCTTGGGAAGCCTTGTCCTTCATTTGTCTCAAGTTCTCTAAAGACATGAAACCGGCTCAGCTTAGATTTAGATTTAAACTGCAGAGCAGTGATGTGAGCAAAACATCCCAGCATTATCCACTTAAGTGTGATGTATCGTTCCATTTCCAGGTCCAAACTCCCCCAGACCCAAATGGTAGAGCCTGTCACCCTCTACACAATAATGTGTTTGTTTTTCTGTAGCGAGGCGTCGTTGAGAGTTGACTACATTCTTCAAATAGAGTAGTCAGTGTTGCCGTTCCACCTGGTGGCATAATAACCTACTTTTATTACACGGCCTAACGTTCGTGAATTTATTTCATTTATACTGTTTACTGTTACTTTCATCAGCTTAAAATGTGTCAATTACATTACAAGGCAGCAAAACAGCACACTTTTAGAAGCTTCATTTTTTATTAATTTAAGAATACTGTGACTTATCTAATCAATTGTAGCCATTTATTTTTCTCCTTCTCATCGCAAGGAAAGAGGTAAAATGACAGCTTACCCATAGTTTTTGATTATGATCTACTGAAACATTGGGGAACACAACACTGTGACATATGGAGAGGAGGAGAACGAAGCAAAGTTTGGGCCTAGAAAGTAAACTTTATGTAACCACTTAACAAGCAGATAGGAAAAAGGTTGTAGTTACTTCTTGTGATTTTAATATTTACATAGCTGTCATCCTATCCTGTGTGTGTGTGTTCTAGAGCTGGCTGTACCTGAAGGGCTCCTACATGAAATGTGACAGAAACATGGAGGTGGCCTTCATGGTTTGTGCCATCAACCCCTCACTGGACCTGCATACTGACAGCTCAGAGCTCCTGCAGCTACAACAGGTGACCGCTCCCACTTGTGTACACTAGGTTGTTATTTACTGTGTCTGTTTGTTTTTCTTCTCCAACAACACACTGACATAACTGTTTATACATTTCCATTATCTAGGGCTGCCCCCTAATAGTCCAACAGTCAAGTCATTAGTCACGAGTCCTGTCAGTCGACTGAGACTATTGTAGTTGAGCCTTTGTTTTTGTTTTATTATACTTTATTTTTTGATAGTCATTGTGCAGTACAATAGAAGGCAGCCCCAGCTGGTAGTTTGTTGTCTTCTTCTCCTCATATTTTTGTGCCAAGCAGCAATTTGCCCAATGATTTTAAATGCTCAGAAATATGTTCCTATCACTCTTTTGTATTTAAACACTGACGTTAATGTGGTCAAAATCATCACTGAAATTCGTGCCATTTGATTTTCTGACAGTCTAGGCTATGTAACCCCAAATCGGAAAAAGTTGGGACAGTCAAATCCAAATTAAGACTGAAAATAGTGATGTGTAAATCATCTGTGCCCTGTATTACATGGAAAACAATGGAGCAGCACATTATTTGATGAGATACCTCATCAACTTTATTGTTTGTTTAAAAGAAACACTTTAATTCTGATGCTGCAACACATTCCAATAAAAGTTGGGACGGTGGTATTTCAGGGCAGCAATGAGGTAAAACAATGAAATGATGATTCCATTAGAAACAGGTGATGTCAACAGGTGACTGCATCATGACTTGGTATAAAGTGGCTTCCAGGAAAGGCCGAGTCCTTTAGGAGCAAAGATGGGCCGAGGACCACCAGTTTGCCAACATATGTGTGAGAAAAGTATTGAAATATTTAAAAACAATGTTCCTCAAAGAAAGATAGGAAGGGATTTGGACATGTCACTCTCTACGTTGCAGAATATCATTAAAAGATTCAAGTTATCTGGAGGGATTTGGGCTAAGATGGATGACCGTGCTCTCTGATCCCTCAGACGACACTGCATCAAGAATCGTCACTCTTCTACAAGCGATATAACCACATGGGCTCAGGATTACTCTGGCACACCTGTGTCAGACACTACAATATGTAGTTACATCCATAAACGCTGCCTAAAACTATACTGTACCAAAAGGAAGCCCTATGTCACCATTGTCCAGAAGCTCAGCCGACTGCTCTGAGCTCCAAGGCATCGGGAATGGACCATCACACAGTGGGAACGTGTTCTGTGGTCAGACGAATCAGTGTTTCAGGTCTTTTTTGGTAGGAATGGATGCTGTGTGGTCCAGACCAAAGACGAAAAGGACCATCCAAATGGTTACCAGCAACAAGTCCAAAAGCCAGGGTCTGTCATGGTCTGGGGTTGTGTCAGTGCCCTTGGCAAAGGTCACTTACACTTCTGTGATGGCTCCATTAATGCTGAAAAATACACAGAGATATTGGAGCAACATACACTGCCTTCAGATTTAGTTTAGATTTTAGATACTGTCCCAACATTTTCTGGTTTGAGGTTCAAAGTTCAAAGTGTTTATTTGTCACATGCACAGTTAGGAAACGTGTTTCCCTGTACAATGAAATTCTTACTTTGCTGTCCACATGAATGCCACAAAATACAAATGAAATAAAAAGTAGATAAATAAATAACACAAAATCTAAGGCACTTTAAGCAGCGGAGATGCAGCAATATAGTAAAAAAAATATACAAGAATATAACAGAATGTATGGTGCATGGGAGCAACATGTGCAGCAGAGTCGTGCAATTATGCATGTAACACAAAATCTAGGGCACTTTAGGCGGTAACAAATACAACAATAGAATAAAAGAATATAATAGAGAATGTATGCTGCATGGGGGCAGCATGTGCAGCAGTCAACAGTCATTGTGCAATTATGCATGTGCAAACTGAGAATGTAAACAGTACATCAC